TATGCTTATATCTGATATATCAAGTATAGTGGTAGGGCTGTATGAAAGCTAGAGTATTTCCTGTAATTTTATAAATTTCAGTAGATCATTCTTTCAGTACATAATTAAGTATAGTTTGGTTTTTTTTTTTCCCCCCACTCAGGTCTTGAAAAAACACTTGCTTCTACTCGTACCCGGGGCAGTCATTTGAAACGGCCAAAGATTGGAAAGCGATTTCAGGATTCTGAATTCACTAGTTCTCAAGGTGAAGATGACAAGACTTCTCAGACTTCACCTGCAGCTTCAATAAATAAGTAAAGAGTTTTTAATTTTACTGTCACTACTTTATTTATTCTTACTTTCATACAATTGGTATTTAGTACTTAATGTAGAGGTTATTCAACTCTTTATAGTGAATGTCTTTGGTGTAGGGGTGTGTATTTGAATCTTTCTACAGGGTGGTTGGGTGTGATTCCTAGTGGTGTTACCTTGATAGTAATTTCTAGTAAGAGAGCAGAATGAAATCAGTATTGATTCTTTCATGTATGAAAATTAGGGAGAGTATATTAGACATATGATTTCAAAGGAGTGCTTATTACCAAATTTGAATTTCACACTGTAGTCATTAGATGTGCTCAAGTTGAGTCAGTTTTTTATTTTCATGTTCACTTTTACTTAATGTATACACTAGTGAAACAGTCATAAGTAATATAGTCAGTTCTTCCAGAAACTTCATAGTAAGGTGAATCAGTAGAACACTTGGGTCAAAATTTATCTTGTTTTTCCTGAGTCTTACAGAAGACAAAATTAAAAATTTTATAATAATGTTCTGCTTGTGTCTAGTAGTTTTAACCATTCCTGAATTCTGTAGCTATGCTGATTTCATTATTTAAGTAATTTTAAAAAAAATTTTTTTTATTTATTTATGTGTGTGTGTGTGTGTGTGTGTGTGTGGCTCAGCCCACCAGGGGGCGGGGCTGGCTGGTGTGTGGTGCTGGGGGATTGAACTGTGGTCCCTGTGCTTTGCTAAGCTTGTTCTAGGTAGGTGCTTTAGACCACTGAGCCATCTCACCAGCCCTATTTAAGTAATTTTAAATTTAGCTAATTAAGTATGTGTTTTAGTGAGAAATTTATTGTGTAAATAGACTATAACTATTTAGATCCAATTTTCATTTATTTATTTCTTTATTTTGCGGAACCGGGGATTGAACTCAGTCCCTTGCGCTTGCCAGGGAAGCGCTTATTCCACTGAGCCACCTCCCCGGCCCCTTAGATCTAATTTTTAAAATGAATAATAAAATGGATTAGATCGCTGTGTGGTTTTTTTACTGAAAACTCTTATTAGAAGGTAACATAGTGACTTTTAAATTGGATATCCCTGAATCACTGTAGAATTTGTTTGCTTTTCATAAATAGGACAGTAACATTAAGACTAAATACTTGAGCTGGCTGTGATAGCACACACCTGTAATCCCAGCACTGGAGAGATGGAGGTAGGAGAATCATTACCAGTTTGAGGCCAGCCTAGACTACACACTAAGTGCAAGGCTAGCCTAAACCATATAGGAAAACCCTGTCTGAAGAAAGAGAGGAGACAAAAGACCAAATGCATGAATGCTTCCCCACACTGTGAAAAACTTCTTTGCTGTTGAATAACTGGCTGCCTAGTGCTAAAGACAGACATGCACACACACACTTGTGAGCATCGGATGGCAGGTGTGGTAGAGCAGTGGTAGCCATGCAAAGTGGGTATGCAGAGGAGAGGGATACATCTGATTGAGGCACTAAAGAGATCTGAAATGTGAGGCCTGGGCTTCAGAGTTCAGTAGATGCTCAACACAGACTTGGAGAGACTGTAACCTAAGAGTCCGCCAGCTGTGGGCCACAGGCTCAGTCTGTCCTCCTGTTTGATATTTGTTTTGTTTGAGCTGTGAGGTGGTCAAGCCAAAGGCCTTTTGCCTGCATAACAATGAACTGCAGTGCTAGCCATATGTACCACTTACCATTGTAATTTTTTTATTATAAGATATCGTGCTTACTAGTTTTATTCATCTTGTGTGAGGGCGCTTCCTTTGTATTACAGTGGCAGAGTTTTGTAGTTGAAACAAAGACTGGCCCTAGAAAACCTGAAGGAAAAGTTGCCAAGCCATGGTTAGGTCAAGGCTGTCCAGTAGACCTGCTGAGGTGACGGAATGTTCTGTACGTGTAGCACACTGTGGTCGCCACTAGCTAGTGTTCTCCTTGCAGAGTAGGAGTGTGGCTGGTGTGACTGAAGCACCGACTTCGATAATTTCATTTAGTTGTACTTGGTAGATGTAAAGTAGTGACATGTCTCTAGTGTCTATTTAATTAGTGCAGATCCAGACTAAAGAATATTAGCAAAAAAACAAAGTTAGGTATTTTAATTAGGATAATTGGTATATAAAATAGAGTGGTACCTTCATTCATAGACTTAATTCTTTCCCTGATTCTGGTCACAAACTGAATTGGACAAGAAGCAAATCTAAGGGTTAGTATCTACCTAGTATGAAATAAAAAAGAAAGTCTGGTTGGAGTAGGTCTAGAGAAGAAGTATACTTTATTTGCAGGGATTTTAGAGAGCTGCTGAAAGTTTTAGAGCTGGTCTGTCACAAGTGATGATCTCTGTGTCAGAAAGACAGCTCTGAAGTTTTGATGAAGAATGTGCTACATGTCCAAAGATGAAGTGAGAAGAGAGAATTGGGCCTGAAGCAGAGCTGTGAAAAAGCTGTGAAAAGAGTCCAGGATATGCTTGAGAAGCATTTTGAATTTAGAACTAAAGTGTTAACATAATTTGTTGTCCATGCTGATGTTTTTGAGAATGAAAGGTTGCTTTTAGTAGGGCAGGGTAGGGTTCAGTGGTAGAAGACTTGTAATGTGCACAAGAATACTAAACTGTTGGATCTTCAGCTCTAAAAACTAAACTAAACCATTTCTAAAAAACTTTATGTTCACTGCAATAAAAAGATTGAATAAGATATGGTTATACTAATAACAAAGTCTAATTTATATAATTGAGAAGGTGGTGTGATGCTAATTGAACTGAGGAACAAGATGGGAATGAGAGCAGGTTACAAGAGGGTGAACAGATTGGTTTTTGACCTGCGGAACCTGAAGGTGTTAATGGAATGCTGAAATTCTGTATTGATACTTAATCAAATTAGTAAGAATAGTCTCCTTTTTTTTTTTTTTTTTTTTTTTTTTTGCGGAACCAGGGATTGAACTTGTTGTTTTTTTGGGTTTTTTTTTTTGTAGATTAGAGTCCACTGTGCGCGTATCAGAGAGCTCGGAAGACCTCCTGGAAGAAGACCCAGAGCAGAGAACAGTTGATTTGGAGGATGAAAGCGGTGATAAAGATGCACGGCCCACACCTGAAGCACAGCCACAGCTAGAGAAGCAAGATGGTGAAAAAGTATGCACTCACTTTTATATGAAGTGGACAGCAGTAATTTTAAGTTCTAAGTTTCTTGATCAGTACATTGTTCAAAAAAAATGACAGAGTTTAGAAATTTTGGTGCTAGAAAGGCATGTACAGTATAAAGGTAATTCAAGTGGTAAAACAATTATTTTAGGCTGAGTTCATAAAAGCTGAGTTGTAATAAGTATCAATAGAGAAGTTAAAATAGTAAGATCCTCATTTAAAAGATAAGTGTATATACAAATGGTATGATCTTATAGAACTTAACTAGAAATGCCTTCAGGTCCAGAAAACCCTCCGTTATGTTGCTGTTTTGGTTAAAAGGCTGAGTTAGTTATTCTTTTTTTTTTTTTAGAAGGGAATTTTTATTTATTTATTTATTTATTTATG